CTAATAAAAAATAACAAAACTAATAAAAGATAACAAAACTAGTAAAAAGTAACAAAAAGTAATAAAACTGTTTTTTTTTTTTTTTTTTTTTTATACAAATGCCATCAGCTGAATTTTTATTGATATAAATAGTGAGAAATATTACATATTGTGAGAATACAACTTTAGATTGTCTAATTTAAGTAGTCTACTTGAAGGTTCTACACTAGCTACTATATCTGAAATCTATTTGAAAATTTACTATTTAAACTCTCTGGCTATATACTATTTCTAACCTGCTATTCTATCATAATTTGTTTAATCTTGTACTACTCCCTTTTTGGAGTCTTCTCTTAGCATTAATGTCAGGCAAACAAATCTTTAAGCTATTCAAAATTTATTTTAACTCCGCAGTAATTCAGTAACTTACTGGTGATTTATTAGTAATTGATTAGTAATTTACTGTAATAACTTACTCTTCATGCAAACTAGCTTGTTGAATTATTAATTCACTATTTACTAGTTTCGCCACCTTTCACCAGTTTCGTCACCTTTCACCAGTTTCGTCATCTTTCGCCAGTTTCGTCACTTTTCGTCATTTTCGTCATTTTGTCATTTTAAAAATTTTTTTGCGAAAGTCGAAACTAGGTTTCGCCTTTCGTCAATGGCGAAACCTCTAGGTTTCGCCTAACAACTATACGTATGGTACTGTACATTTGCTTTTAATATAATTTATATTTTAACTTTTATAAAGCAAAAATTATTTATCGTTTTTTTTGCATAATTCTAGAAGTTTAAATTGCTAAATTATTTTAGTTTTGCTTTTAAAATCATCAAATTATTTTAATTAAGTTGGCCAGAATCCACGGTTTTATGATAATAATTTTTAAAAAATATATCGTTTAAATGACCGGTTCAAAAAATAATATAAATAAATTTTAGATAATGTATAAATAAGCTTAAAGGAGACTAAACATTATTTGTTAAATTTACCGAGGTATAATTCATTATATATAGCGGAACAATAAATAAACAATGACAAATTTAATTAATATATTTGGATTAACGTTAATAATTAATTAGCTTCAAAACACATGTGATCATTTACGCATTGTTATAGAGATTTTCCTACGTATTCAAAAAGCATTTATGCATGTATCACTATTATATATTATTATGAATATTATTAAGAAGATAATTATATATTATTATTATGATAATTTCTTGTTATATGGCATGATTTGACGAATACACAGTTATTGGCCGGATAATAACAAAAGCACGTGTCTTCGGCCACGTGCGTTGTTATTATTCTGTTGATACCGTATTCGTTACCATCATGCCGGATAACTAGTTTATTCGACAGGTATGACGTATACACTTGCGGAAAAAATTAATATTATACCGCAGGTTTTATATTAAAATAACGTATTATTATGAAGATAACAAGGACCTGAGCAAAGGGCTAGACTTTCATATACAAAATAAACTTAATTCTGTGGAACTAATACGTAATAAAAATGAATTTTATATATTTCCTACGTAATAGTTTAATTATTTTCACAAATTAAAATGAAGATAATTTGGGAATTACCGACATAATATGCATATTAAAAAATTTTAGAATTCTAAAATTCTAGAATTTTTAAAATATTAGTGAACATTAAAAAGTGGTTATGTCATTGCCAAGAAATCTTAATTTAAAAATTAATAAATCGAAATCTATAACGACCTTTGTTAAGTTCTTTTTAGAATTCTTAATTAATGAAGTGATAGCCTACGTAGTACGACTGTACGTAACATGTTCACCTGATATTTTGTTTCAACTTTATTGTTGGCGACGTAAAAAAACATATGACCAATGTATTTATAGTACTGTTTTATTTTATTTGAATGACAAAAATACTGTATTCGCAGATTAACAAAAAACAAGTAAATAATTATATATTTTATAATAATAGTTGAAGGTAAATTCGGTACCGGAATAAACAACACATGTTAATATTTGTTTCAGATCACAATCCAATTTTCTTTTTTTGAAAACAAAAAGATCATGTTAATCGTCATATTATTTTTTTTTTAAATTTAAGATAAAGAAATTTATACCAAATATTTTTATGCAGTGTTTCATTAATTCTTGAATCTACACGCACTTTTTTTAAAGATTCATTTTAATTCCATCAGCTATTACGTGAGAAAGTTTTTTTTTTTTTTTTTTTTGTAAAGTATTAAAATTGAGTCATTATGCATAATTATTTGTTGTACCAAAAAAAAAAAATTGAAACTACGAAACCAAAATATACTCCTTAGATAACAAATATTGAAGCAATAATTATAATAGGAAAGACTTAATAAATGACATAATTTGACATGACATTGCGCGCTCTCTCTTTTTCCAAATCAAATCTTGAATGGTAGATAAAATTCCGCTGAATTGGTTACGCATTCATTTAATTCGTGTAAAAAAAAAAAAAAAAAAAGAATTCCCTGTCAACTGATATGACTTTATAAGTATAACAAAATAAATGTCTACACTAAGTTTAGCGTTATGTTATAATATATTTATCTGAATAGTTACGCAATATAGAAGTTCGCCAAAGATTGATCATATGTCCAACTAGAAAGGGTCAGCAGATTTTAATAATACATCAATGCCTTGAACCATTACAAATACAAATGCCGAAGTTTCAAATACTGTTTCATTCTTACCGTTATATAAACCCCTCCTTCTTTCAACTAACTACACACACAAAAAAAAAAAATCAAAAAAATCAAAAAAAAATCAAAAAGTTCAAAAAAATAACAAAGAAAAAAAAAATAATTTATATTAAGACTTAACAAAAAATTAATATGTCAACTCTACGAACATTAAGATCGCGCCGTTGCTATAACAACATTCGTAGTAACAGGGAAAGAAGAAGAAATAATCCTTATGCCTCTGTTGCTGCTGTAGATCAAATGGAATTTCCTCCCGAATACAGAGAATTTGTAGAACAAATTTTGTTTGGATCTCCGTTCATTAAAAAATGAATTATACACCTTTTTTTTTTTTAAAAAAAAAAAAAAAAATATCGTTTTTAAAAAATTCAAATTTTATTCTTTTCAAAATTTACATGAAACAATATATATTTTTAAGGTTATTAAAGTTTTTTTAAGTTTAAAAATATTTTAGATTTAAAGTTTATCTATGTAGATTAAGTTTAATTAAAAATATACTATGTAGATTAAGTTTATAAATATTTTAGATTACACATAACGGAGCTGAAAATGGTACTTTACCATCTACAGTTTTCTTTTACATATACAAAAGTATCTTTTCCAGCCCTTTTATGTTATAGATATAACCAATTCTCAATTTTTAAAAATCTTCTTTAGAGAATTATCTTTTAAAATATTACTTGAATTATTATATATTTGGTTATAGTAAAAGAAACTGCGGTCAAACACAATGTTTATCTGAAAAAAAAAAATTGAATTCCATTTGTTTTCCAAACTTGTTCTTTAAATCAAAAAAAATAATGGCGTACCGAGTAAAACTTTATTTTTCCGAAATCTTAAAAGGTAACAAACTACTATAATAAGATTCTTATAATCATATGTAATTTGTAGATCATAATAACAAAAGGTTATAATTATTATTTTGTGCTCTTTTTTTCAGTTTTTATATGGAAATAATTACGTATCATAAATTAAATTTTTCATTCATTCATTCATGAATAAACATCATCAGATGATATGTATTATATTGTATTATCATAATGATTGTCTTACCGTTACGCAATAACTTTTGTTGCATTGTTTCAGCGAATCATAAACTAAAAACAAACATCTCATTCCGTAGATATCCGACTGGATTTTTATAAACTATCTGATGAAATCCGATGAAATAATTATGCTTTTAAACTTTAAACTACTTAAACTAATCAGTCATCATTACAAATATCATTTTCGGATTACCGGATTAAAATAGTCAACAATTTACTGTATATATGCGTTGTAAGTGGAATTGAATTTTATGTGAATTTATCATTTTTTTTAAAATTTAAAATTAGTACGTATTATTTTATATGAATAAACTTTATATTCTTATCCTTAATCTATAAATGTCATTTAAGTTCAAAATTTTAAAAAATGAAACCCATCGGACCTCCAGAACCTATTCAGCTTATTTGCTACACCATTTAAAATGATATTCAATGTTGATATATATGATTATCTAGATCAATTATGATTAATAATTAATGTGTGAGAAAGGCGGAGAATTTATTCCGCACTTTAAAAGTCAATTGCATGTGCACTCCGTACAAACTTATTTTATTTATGGCATTTTTTTGATTGTAGACTATGAAAGAATATAAAAAACGAGCAAGGTTGAGCAAAATTTTAAAAAGAATAAGCTGTAAGATTTTGGTTTAGCTAATAAAAATTTTTATTCTTATAAATTACGGTAATTTTACAATCCTACGCATAATATATATAAAATCTGAAAAATCATAGATATAACTAATAACAACTATGATACATTTTAGTAAACTTGAATAAATTATTAAAGTATTTTTAATTTAAATTAATTATTATTTATATAACAAATAATAGTATATATTAAAATTTAATTTAAATGAAAATTTAGAAATTTTAAAAATTTTAGTTAATAAAAATAAATTAAATCTTTAAAAAATAAAAATCTTTAAAAATATACAAATAAATAAATTTGTTTTTTTTTTGAATTAAACAAAAATTTTTATCAAATTAATTAGATAGTTATTAAGAAGTTATTGCTTATAGTAAATATCTATAAAATAATTTTCCTAGAATTTTTTAAAACTTAAAATAAAGATATCTCAAACTATCTAATCAAATTTGATAAAATTTTTTTTTCTAATTCTACAGATTTAAAAAATAATAATAATAAAAGCTTATTAAATTTAATTAGATAAATATTGTTTAAAGTTTTAAAAAAATTTAGTATATCTTCTATTTTAAATATTTTAAATTGTTTGCTAACTTTTAAACAATATATTTTGACAACTATCTAATTAATTTTAATAAAAAAAAGTTTATTTTAATTTTGCAAATTTATAAAATTAAAATAAAAAATTTATTAAATTTAGTTAGATAAATATATAGTTATTAAATAAAATTTAGAAGTTTTATATAAAACTTTAAAGTTAAAATAATAAAACTAATAAAAAATAACAAAACTAATAAAAGATAACAAAACTAGTAAAAAGTAACAAAAAGTAATAAAACTGTTTTTTT